TATATATATATATATATATATATATATTCTTTTTTCGTTTCAATTTGAATAATCAGAACAATAAGAGTTCGTATTTCCTGTTTGACGATGTCTTGTCACGGAGATTAGAAGAGTAGCAACGAATCCTCCAGTTTCCTCATTCACTGATTGTGTTTCACTGCGACATTCACCAACTGTCTTGGAAAGAAATGTGAATGGAAAGAAAACGAAAACAGAATTCTACAAGCATTGAAAATTCACCCCGTCACTTGTGTAATTTGTGCTTAGCACTGCTTAATATCCTTTTCTTCGCTCTTCTCGTTTTAATAAACTTTGATAACACAAAAGTAATGCATAAGTGTGAGAAAAAATTAATGAAGTTTTCGAGGAATTCAAAGTGAAATGTGAAATCCATTTCAGGATGTAAAAAAATTATCCAACGTTTTGAATAAATTGTAAAATATTTGGACGTAGAAAAAACATAATCGTATTAACAAGAGACGAAAGAAAACAAAATTTTTAAAAATTGTCTGTGATTATCGGTCATAAAAATCTTAAGCTCGAGATATATTTTTTAGAAAATTAACAAAATTTATTATATACCCCTATTATTGATATGATATTGGATCCTACGTGCGCTACTAATTCAAATTAGAGAGAAAATCGGAGAGTAACTAATTGAGGAATTATGATCGGAATATTCAACTGAAAAATGACAAACTTTGTGAACAAGAAAGAAAATACGAATGAAAAATTATGAGAGTTATGAGATCAATGGCTGTTTGTAAAATATTCCTTATTTGGAATAATTAATTTTGAGTAAATTATAAATTCATTTTTCGAAGACAAATTATCTGCATACAATCGACCTCATTAATTTATCTTTCTCTAAACCCATGAAAATAGTCCACATCAGCTGACGAAAATTATAATTGATAAACAACAAGCAGAATAGTGTAATTAAACGACGAGAAAAAAAAGTATGAAAAGTTTCAAATGGCAAAAACTTTACAGTAGAAAACTATTGAATAATCATATTGCATTAGCCTGAAAGATATTATGCGTACCGCATTAGCAACACACATTTAGCCGCTTTCATCACACAGAGACATGTTTACACGAGAAACTCACAACATTCTAATTAAATGTTTTGTTACAATAATAAAAAGCCACAAATGGAATATATATATAAAAACAACTAGTTACTTTATTGAATCCACTACAGTAATGACTCATGCAATCGAATTTTTTTTTCAGTTCTAATAATAAAACCATTGCATGTGCAGTGAGTACTATCTTGTGATGCAAAAGTCGGGCATTGATTATCGCATCAGTGGGGGAAAAATGGAGAGGAGAAATGAATGTGGAGGAAGAGAGAAATCCTTGATATCACATTTGTGTTTCAAATATCAACACTTCGCAATTAATTTCAGCACAGACGCTGAATCTTATCGTTTTTACCCTGCTTATGCCCATTCCCACAGCAGTGCCAAGTGCTCTTGTGTTGTAATTAATTGTAATACTGCATTATGTTGCAAAAAAGAAGGAAAACAAGAATCAAATAGAAAAAAAAAACACAAAGTGCAGGTTCGCTTATTTGTATGCGTAAAAAATAATGTTACAATGAGGCATCGCATGACGTTTTCTCAGCGCGAGAGAAGTGAATAAAACCGTTGACTCATCGGTGAACTCGAGCGGTTTAATTTCACGTTGAGTAAATATAAATTCAGATGCATATTTTTTTCCTCGAAACGAGGAATAATGCTAATTGAATGACGGGTGGTTAATGATCTCATGGGTTGACAACAAGAGGACAGAAATAGTGAAAATGCAGTAATTGATTGTTACAGTCTGAATTTGAAGATGAGTAATTATCCATTAACCAATTACAATGCATTCAGGTAGTCTCGCGGGTAATTTTGGTGAACGATTCAAGCAGTTAATTCTGGGGAGTAACGAGTATATTAGTGTCATCTTTTTCGGCTGAATTTCAAATAAACAGTTCATATATGTGGACGTGTGATTGTCAATTCCCATTAAAACCAATATTTAATGATTTTTTCGGTCTTCTGTAGCGACGTCACTTTTCAGGCAATCAGGGTCGTTTTGGGGTTGAAATTTGTGGAATATTGTCAATATTATCGGATTGTACATAAGTTATAACTCCATAGCAACTAATTGGGCCTTTTTCATGCCGTCCGCCACATGTATCCAAAGAATTATTGAATGACCGATCGAAGCAACTCGTTCAATTGAACTCTATACGCAAAATGTGAGAGTATATTGCTCTTCTGTGTTTTTCCTCTTGTATCATTGCCTGCTCATTTAATAATACCCATCTGACGTGCGTTTTAAGGATATCCAAGTATCTTTTACTGTTTGGTACAGATCACACTGAAGATTCAACCATTTTAATCATCAAATTTATCAATTAAATTACGTGAAAAAAGTTTGAAAAAAATCATGAATATTCAAAGTCAATCAAATTACATTTCACAGAATTATAATTTTTTCAAACATTCAATGTTTATAATTAAATAATTGAAATTGTTTAAACTTTCGGAAACCTAATTTTTTTAGGCATGAAACCGATTTCTGGTAAATTCTGAATGTGAATAATTTTGTTACGATTCCGAGCAAATGATTTTTGTAATGGAAAATTAATTGTTTATTAATTATTCATAGAAAGTGCAGTAAATTTAAAAAATTGCAATTTTTAAATTATTTCATTAATCTTCCTCCACAAATAAACTTTCTATTTTTTCAGATTTTTTGAAATTGAGATTCTGAGATTCATTATGAGGCTTGTGAAATTTAAATAATAAAATCATTGTAAAAACTCTCGAAACTAGGGGTCAAATAAGGTTCAAATGAAAGCTCTGATATTCGACTACCAAAGTAGAAAATCAATTTCACCGGAGAGAAAATAGCCAAAGTACTTGAATATCTTTAAAGTATATCCCAAGACAATCGGACCCAAAAGTTACACATATGAAAAAATCCTATAGAAATTGTTTATACGGATTGCGTATAGAAATTCTATAGGATTTCCGTACATGATATTCGGATATTACTATACGAATATTTTCTATACGAATTATTTCTATACATAAATTTTGACATAAATTTTTGTTTTCATACGAAAAATGTCTAAACGCTCCAGAGAAAAACGTAGAGAAACGTCGCAACTCCATACGAAATGTTTCTATACATGTGGCAGTGGGTTGTATAGGATCAAACCTATAGAAATCGCATAGAAATAAATTGTATAAAAAATATCCGTATAGAAATCTCCGAATACCATATACGAAAATCCTATAGAAATTCTATACGCAATCCGTATAGAAAATTTCTATACGATTTTTTCATACGTGATAGTCCCTATAGATTTCCATAAAAAGTCTAAATAACGTAATTTATTGCATTCTCGTAAGTTATTGAGTTTCCATTCTCATGTATTGTTGATGCAGGGAACAATAACTGTTTGAATCAAATCAGAAATTATTTATTAATTAATGTTTTGAATCAAGTAAGAAATGCTTTCATGAAATTCCCATTTTTTATAGTTGAATATGCAGAAACTATGTAGTACAAAATTTTACAAAAAATTCACCGCATTCGGAATTGATCAATGTATTATGGATTAGTTTTTAAGAACATCGTAAACATAGCCCCGTTTGCCCTATGCCTCGCGTCTTAGAAGCCCACATTTCATTATTTATTATCTCCTAAACTGTGTAGTGTAGCTAGTTAGCATTTTTTTCGATAGCTGGAGACTATTATAAACATTATCTATGAAAAACACGGGCACAATCTTAAGAAAAACGTGTTTTCTAGGGATATACCTTAAGGGGAAACGGAATCCCTGGGTTTATATGAATCTTTAGAATTATGTTTTCTCCTGCAATTATTATTTTTTATTCATTAAACTACTTCATTGACTCAACAATGCAATAATCGAGTTGATAAAGTATTTTCATAGATAGAAATTAATAATTGTAGGAGAAAACACAATTCTGAGATTTGATGTAGACAAAGGGGTTCCGTCTCCCCTTAAAATGACCGCAGTACATTGGCTGGTCGTCTTTTCTTTATCGTATCTCAAACCTACCCACACAATTGTCGGCAAGTGTATTTTGGAACCATTCACGAAGATTACGTGGCTCAATGAACATGGATTTACCATTGTCCCAGGCATTCAACATTTGTCTAGATATTCATAGAGCAATTGTAAAGATTCGTTCAATTTCCCGAATTTAAAAAATTTCGAAGATCTGTTAGTTCTATATCATCGATAGCACTGTTATCTGCAGAACGTCAATCAGTCAGTCGAAATTCTAGGATGCATCTGCTGTGATTTTAGGCTTGTGAATAAAGCGGTGAGCCCGCTTTCCGAATATTCTAGACTTTTCTAGCATTTATGGCCTAAATGTCAATTTCAACATGAAAAAATTAGACGGTCTTAAGGCGGACCACTAAACGCGATATAGTACGTAAATAGTATGTTTCGTCATTAGGTCGAAAAAAACTTTCCTAGTTCATCTGATTGCAA